GAAATAATTTATTAAATTAATTAACACCGCGGAGTAGCATAAACTTTATTCTTTAAATATCCCCACAAGAAGTAATATAAAGGACTTAAATCAGGGGAAAAAACCATTTCAAATGCGAATATCTCCGAAACGAATCAATAGAATTTAAAAAGCAAAGCAGATTAGTAATCACGATTAAATTGGCTTTCAAATAATGTGCCATTTGCCATAGGATTCCATTTAAAATTTTAGGGATTAAGCTCCCTACGTAGAGGGGTGAAGACTTGGATTCGTGATTTGCATTCCAAAAGTTGTCCCCTTCGAATACAAAATCGACGTGTTCGAGGATTTTTCGAAATTTCTAAATTTAATACCCTAAAAGCCCTCTGTATACTTCTCGTTGGGCCACTCTGTATATCCACCTTGATCATGTAGAAGTTACGGGCTCAAATTTTAAGTATGTTGGAAATAAATCTAACCGATTGTATTTGCTCAACTTTTTATTGTTCAAATTTGAAAAGTTCATAAATTTTCTTAATAACCGATTTTTTTTATGCGACTTTTTATATGACAAAAACTGACTCTCTTTTACTATAAGAACACAATTCTTTCAAATACGTCTGCCTCCAACATCTTTCCACCATCATTCCTCCATTTATACTAACCATAGTCCTCCTCGACCCCCTGTCGTGATCGAATATATTCCCTTATATCTCCAGGACGGATTGTCGAAAGAGGGTACTCGCAAGGGGAAAGTGGAACGTCAGGACGAGACATATCTATTGGTGATGTCAAAGCTTTCAATGCAAATATCTGCACAATGGAGTGTCGGAGGATTTTGAATGTATACCTACCAAGCGGCCTTAAAATGTTTATTTTTTTTATTATTATTATTATATTTATTACACCCATCGAGATACAAATTAAAATACCACCATATTCTAGTCCATAACTTTTGATTGAGACGTCCGATCGAAACAGTACGAATTGTTTTGGATTCTACGCACCAAAATTAATAAGAAAAAGTGTTTTCCCGAGAAATTTTGGTGCAGTCGATTTTTGGTGAAAAGTACTTTCTTTATTTAGGGGGCACATCACGTTCCTGATGCACCAACACGCTGAAAAGCTTTCCATAGAGTCTTTAGATTTGTGCCATGCTAAATCCATTAATATTCTTTTCTTTATCCTTATGTGTAAAGAGCCTCCGCCCCATTTATCACCTACCAAGAAAGTAAACAACGATAGCATGCCACTACCTTATAACTCAACAATTTACTAAGCTATTTCGGTTTAAAAAATGCGCTTTATCTCCACATGAGTTGTTCACAATTTACACTTGTTTTAAATAGAACGGTTACTTTTGTCTGTAATATTCTTAAAGAGCTTGAAATTCTCTTTAGAATGAAATCAAATATGTTATAACCTTTGAAATTAAAACTACAGTAATGTGTTTAATACCAGTCGCAGTAGCTGTAGAAATTTAAACAAAAAGGAAGCGAAGAAAACAAATGAGAAACAGTGTCAAAGATAACTATAACTATTATGCCCCCCCAAGGGAAGCACCTTGTCGTGGTGGGGGGGCTCAGTAGCCACTGTTGCCAGCAGTGGTGAAGCGAAGCTGTCCCAGGTCGTTTGTATTGTCTTCTTTGATAGTTCTAGTCCTTTTGTCTTTTGTTTCATGTCATAAAAATTTCACAAAAAAAGGCCTTGGCCCGCTGGCAGTAGCGATAAAATGCAATGGTTGACGACACTTTATGCTATGAAAAAGTTCTCGAGCCCTTCGGGGCGCCCACATCTTACTGCTCAGGGGTTCGGATTGTCCCCAGAGCCGGCAGGGAGCGAGGCGGAGCGGGCAGGCCTCACCCGGTCGATATTAAGCGGCTGCTCGGCGTCCGTGGCAGGGAACCAGGCCACGGAGCGGGTAAATACATCTGGAACAAATGACGACCTACGCTATGTTTCTACCGGACACTCTAAAGGCTATGGCGGCACAACGACGATTGGCGCGGAAATGGAGAGTTTTCCTTCATTACCGCAAAATAATGGTACCAGCGAGAAGGAGGACATCGTGCCCCGGTTCCTGGTCCTTAAAAGGAAAGAAGGGGATTTTACAAATGTAAGTCCCTTCTTAATAAGTAAAACGATATATGGAATTATAGGAAATGTTAAAGAAGTAAAGAAAGTGAAGGGCGAACTATTTATTGAAACTGTGTCTAGTAAGCAGTCTAAACAGATGCTGAAATGCGAAAGATTTGCTGGTTTTGAGATTGTGGTTGAACCCCATAAAACACTAAATACATCAAGGGGAGTAGTTTTTTGTAGGGATTTGTTAAATTGTTCCCTCGATGAAATTAGGGATAACCTGAGCAGTCAAGGTGTAATTGATGTAAGAAGGATAAGAACCAGACGAGACGGGGAATTCATTGATACCGCCAATCACGTCCTTACGTTCAACTCTCCTAAACTGCCAAGAAATATTCAGGCCGCATTCTACCCTCTACAGGTACGACCTTATATTCCCAACCCTCTGCGGTGTTTTAATTGTCAACGGTTTGGACATTCATCAAC